AGACGACTGAAATTTCAGTCGTCTAATCCCTAAACATAACCCCTAAACTTTATTCTCTAATTAAACACTTCGAAACATCAATTTAAACTTGAAAAATGTTTACTATACACAGAAATAAACACATAGAGGTCAAATTAATTTTTTCAAAAAAACATTTCAGCTTTTCAAAATCTAACCCTAAGATTACATACAATACTACTACATATGTTTGCCAAACCCTTAAACCAAAGAATATCATGATTCACTACTTCCACTCATCTATGCTGAAAACAAATTAACTTTATCATTTCTTAATTTATATCACTTATAAATGTTTATAATTACATGTTTTTAATTTTTCACTCATCAAAATATTTTGTACAGAATTTATAAATTATTTTTAAGATTCAATCGTCCAGACAACTAACATTTCAGTCGCCCAGACGACTGAAAAGTAACTCAGCCCGACCCAGACAACTTACCGGGGTTATATTCGTAAAAATGTCTTCTGTTTTTTTGTTTGGTCACAGAACACTATACTGTAATTTCACAGCCCTTTCAGGTTAGATTTGCATTTGATTCAAGTTGGGGTCTAGTATTGGGGTTAAAACCAAGTTATGGGTTAGTTTTGGCAATTTTCCCATGTTTTGCATGCAAAAAAAATTTAGGTATGTTTTAGCACACAAAAAAAGGTATGTTTTCCGAGGTACTTGTAGTTTGGGTATGAATAAGCCATTTTCCCAGTGAAGTTATTATATGTGTTAATTATATAAAATGTGATATCTTAATGATGCCAACATGTTAATGAAAATAAATGAAATATGATTTTTTAAGCGATGTCTATTTTTTTTAAAAAAAATCACACATTAATAAAAGTTGTGACTTTTATTATAATACATAGATTTTCAAGAACCTTCTTCGCCATGAGTTCGCCCTAGTTCTCTTCTTTCCCGGGCATGTTCTCCAAGGCGCCGTCAACTGTGCACTCTTTTCGACGCCGGCGGCAACCTAGCTTGCCGGTTTCGTCATCTGTTCCCCTCTCCATCTAGTCTACCGTCGCTGCATCACTTTACATCATGTCGTCAATTCTCTTCATCGTCCGTGTACTAGTCCTCTTTGCCGTCTTTCAACTCGTTCATTCCGATGTCATCGCCTCCTCCGTCCATCTCGAAATCACCACCGCTACTGCTCTTCTCGTCACCACCGTACCTCTAGTTCCTTTCGTCGTCGCCACTAATCTTACTTCACTTCTCATCACCGGTCTTCTCAGCCTGTTCGGCGCCGGATCTAATGTGCATGAGGTCACACACGCCAGATCTACCGGTTTTCTCTACACTGAGCCTCCACCGCTCCACGACAGTCCCCTGTTTACGAGCCTTCATCAAACGAGAGGTCACCGATATCTATCCTCCAGACTGCTGCATCCTCACTGATGAGACGTTGCAGTTTCTGCAACATCACCACATTATCTCCTCAGCACTCCATCTCCGTGAAAACCCTCCTCTGATATGATACCAAAGGGGATTGGGGCCTAACATTGACTTTGGGATTTTGCTCTCTTATCATAGAGCTCAGACCTTTCTCTTTATTTGGCTACGGAGGAGGTCCAACACCGCAAGCTACCACCACCGTCTCCCATGCAGTCGTGACATTCTTCACTCTCCAGCTGGAGATGGTTTCCACTATCTCCGGTAAATCTTGTGCATCAGGTCCGCAACTGTTCTCTACGATCTACGCCTCCTCCCTGTCACCCGCCGAGACCCTAAAGGATTTCTACCATCTTTTGGAATTTGGTTTGTAATAAGAATATTCTATTGTGAAGTTTTCATTTCAAGCGACGACCCTTCCAAAGACATGTCGCTGCCTCAACAGCTCCATGGATATTGTGCATGTTGATTGTCATGGCTTCTTCACTGGGGGTACGACACCTCCTCTCTCCATCGCCGGATCTACCGTGCAAGAGTGTAAACTCGCCAGATTTGTTTGCTGCTATGTTACCATTGCGTTTCTATCACATTATATTGTTTCAAGCATCGACGGTTCTTCACAAAGTCGGTACGATACTCTCATCCTTTTTTCATTGCCGAAACTACTGTGCAAGAGTGTGGACTCACCAGATCTTCTAGTTACTTTGTTATTAATGTGTCTCCATCATATTACGCCGTCTCAAGCATCGTCTGTTCTTCACAGAGTCGGATCTACGGTCCTCTCACCGATTTCCTTGTCGTAAGAATTACTATGCAAGAGTGTAGACTCGCCAAAGATACTCGATACTACATCACCGCTGCGTCTCCATCACATTATGTTGTCTCAAGCATCGACGATTATTCACAAAATCGATTTTACGACCCTCTCACCGGAGCGGTTACTTTCTGCAGAGGTTTCAAGACTTCTTGCTCTCAAAACCCATTGGTTGAGTTCTTCAACGTCGATTTTGATTTCTTTGCGTTTCTTCGAACGCAGGTTTTAGGATTACAAGTGAATCTTCTCTATGGGTCTCTTCTCTCCTTAGCCTCATCTATCCATCATCATGTTTTACTTATTTTCGTTTATCTGTTTATTATCAATGATCTCTCCGATTGTAATCGATTTAGCCCATTGGGTCTTTAATTTTAATATAAGTAATTGATGTTAAAAAAGATAGATTTTGAAGATAAAAAAGATTTTTATGATAAGAAAGATCTTGAAAAAATTAATAACAACGATGAAAGAATTCTGGTAACTCAGTATCAGCAAAGAGAGCATGCCAATCAATTAAGAGAAGCAATAGTAAAAATTATGTGTAGAGAGATACATGTTATGAGACCAAAACATGTAATACATGAAACAGAAAATATTAAAAGATACATATTTTAAGTTCTTATATATTTTTAATTAGAAAGTTGAACTTATGCACATGTTTGATTGATGTATAATAATTCACTTTTATATTTTGAAATCCACATAATGATTCTGAATTTACTTGTAATGATTTTGAAATCCACTTGCTTGATTTTAATATAGTGGATTTATCAAGGATTTCAAAAGCTAAGAAGGATATCCTTTTTTATTTGAACACCCTCTAAGAAGTGGATCTAAATTGAATTATACTAGAATTAATAAATCCCACTAAGTTCTGCCACAAAAAATGTCACCAGTCATTTTCAGTTTTTGCATTAGGCACCATCTCATATTTTTGGAAAAACAATTTTTGTGGACCTTGGACTTAAACAAAATCTGATGAAAAAGGTAGTTGGGAAATTATCAAAAAATATTTTGTAACATAATTCTGTATATTTATCTTAATGTAAAATATAATTGATATGTTTTGAAGAGATAAATAGTTTTTTTTTTGGTGTGGATCTAGTGAATATTAAAAAATCTAACAAATAGAGTAGTTGAAACATCATAAAAGTTAAGATAAAAAATCTGTTTTGTTTTGTTTCATGACGTTTCTGTTTATTTTAGCTTTAAATAGGAAACTTGGGTAAGTCAAGAAGTCGAACATAAAAATCAGGACCAATAAAGCTTGAAGAATTTAACAAAAATGATCATGATATTTCTCTTATGGGTGATATTTTTTTATACCATTCTCTCCTTCACAAAACATGTGACCGGGAAGAAAAGCAATACAATTCCATCACCACTGAGACTTCCAGTGATAGGAAACCTTCATCAACTCGGCCGCCATCCTCATCGATCACTATGCTACCTCAGCCACCGCTACGGACCTGTCATGCTCGTTCACTTTGGCGTTGTCCCTGTTCTTATAATCTCTTCAGCGGAAGTTGCTCGAGACGTTTTGAAGACGCATGATCGTGTCTTCGCGAGTCGCCCAAAGTCGAAAGTCTACGAAAAGGTTCTTTATGGGGACCTTCATATTGGTTCAGCTCCATATGGAGAGTATTGGAGGAAAACAAGGAGTGTGTTTGTCACTCATTTACTCAGCAACAAGTTGGTGCAGTCCTTTCGTGACGTGAGACAAGAAGAGGTCAATCTACTCATGGAAAAGATCCGGAAATCGAATTCTTTGCCGGTAAATCTAAGTGAGCTCTTCTCAAGATTAACAAACGATGTGGTAAGTAGAGTTGCTTTGGGGAAGAAATACGGTGGCACTGGAATAGATTTAAAAGAGTTAACAGAAAGGCTCCTAAGGCTAGCAGGTGCGTTTACTGTCGGGACTTTTGTACCATGGCTTGCGTGGATTGATTGGATCCGTGGATTGGATCGTCAACGGGCAAAGACTAAAAAAGAATTTGATGAGATCTACGAGAAAGTTATTCAAGATCATGAAGATAAAGACGGCCATGGGACTGATTTCGTCGATGTATTACTCGCTATTCAGAGAGACAAGAGCATCGGGCTTGAAATTAATCGGATGCATATAAAGGCAATCATCGTGGTAAAGGAGAAAACAAACAAAACCAAATTCAGATATCATAATGTTTTTGTTGTTAAGTTTTTAAAGAAAATAATAATATAATGTTTTTGTGATATAAGTTACAAAAAAATAATGTTTTTGTAATAATCGTAGTTCTTGTTTTTGTTTTGAATTTTTTCAGGATGCTTTTGTGGGTGGTACAGACTCATCTTCCACGCTTTTGGAATGGGAAATGACAGAGCTTCTACGTCACCCAAACTGTCTGAAAAGACTTCAAGAAGAAGTCCGTACAGTTTGTAAGGACAGATCGAGTGTATCAGAGGACGATATTAAAGACATGAAATACTTAAATGCTGTGCTCAAAGAGACACTCAGGCTACATCCTTCCATTCCATTGATGGTTCCTCACGAAACAATAGAAGATGTCAACTTAAGAGGTTACCACATACCCGCCGGTACTATGGTTATGATCAATGCATGGGCGATAGGGAGAGAGGCTGCAACGTGGGGACCAGACGCGGAAAGTTTTAGGCCGGAGAGGCATTTAAATTCATCTGCTGATTTCCGAGGTCAGGATTTTGAGCTGATTCCGTTTGGAGCAGGGAGAAGGATGTGCCCGGGAATGTCATTTGCGGTGGTGTTGAATGAATTGGCTTTGGCTAACTTAATGCTTGGGTTTGATTGGGAATCTACAAAAGATCAGACCGAAACGGATGTTGCTGAATCAACGGGTGCTATGATTCGTCCCATGTTACCTCTCTACGCCATTGCAACACCAACTACTTGATCAATGCATTAAATATATGCCTATACTATTATGTTATATCTAGAATAAGATATCTTCTTTATCTATGTAATTCTTCTGTGTTCAAATAACGGATATAAGTATTTATAAAATAATAAGATCATAATGATCAGTTAATGTTTCATTTTCACTGTTTAAAAGTTTTCAATTGTTTTGTAATTTTTGTGCATGAAACATGATAGAAAAATAGCCTTTAAGTGGCGACTAAACCACACGCGCGATCTTTACCTTTCTAGCAAATAATCATCGTGTTTCCCTAGGGCGGCGGTGACACTGTACTGGCAGTATTTAGAATCAACTTCTCCTGTACCCCTATTTTTTTAAAGGTAATTTTCTATGGGCTCGCGTGATCTCTTATATTCCTATTTCATAATTCATTTTCTATCAAAACCTAAATCCCCAATTAAATTCTTCTCGGTGTTCAAAACTAAACAAACCCCCCCCCAATGGATGGGTGAACCCATGGGCGAATATTTAAATTCTATAGCTTTCAAATTCGAAAAAAAATATTTCAAAATCATTTTCTAATCATATTTTGATGATTTTCTTGAAAATAGGAAAAAAACGTTTTTTGATTTTTGAAATATTTTTTTATCAAATTCTATAAATCAAATAAAAAATATTCACGTTTCAAGTTTAATTTTATGTTTTTTCGTTTGACATTTAAAATTAAAAG